CTAGAAGCACCAATTCTATAAGTAACACAATGGCAATAAATTCATATCTTTCAATAATTACTGAGTGTAAATGGACTAAATGCTCCAATCAAAAGACATAGGGTATTAGAATGGATACAAAAAATAAGACCCAGCTATATGTTGCCTACAAAAGACTCATTTTAGTCATTAAGACACCTACAGATTTAAAGTCAGGGAATGGAGAACCACTGGTTATGCTAATGGATGTTAAAAGAAGGCCAGAGTAGCCATACTTATATCAGAAAAAACTAGATTTTAAAACAAAGACAGTAACAAGAGATGAAGAAGGACATTATATTATATTTAAGGGCTCTATCCATCAAGAAAATCTAACAATTGTAAAAATGTATGCTCCCACTTGGAGACATCCAAATATATAAATCAATTAATAGAAAACATAACGAAACTGAATGATAATAATACCATTAATAGTAAGGGACTTTAACACCCCACTTACAACAATGGACATATCATCTAGGCAGAAAATCAACAAGGAAAAAATGGCTTTGAATGACACACTGGACCACATGGACTAAACAGATATATTCAGAACACTTCATCCTAAAGCAGCAGAATACACATTCTTCTTGAATGCACATGGGACATCCTCCAGAACAGATCACATACTGGGTCACAAATCAGCTCTCAACAGGTAGAAAAAGATCAAGATCATACCATAGATATGTTCAGATCACAACATTATGAAACTTGAAATCACAAGAAAAATTTGGAAAGTCCTCAAATACATGGAGGTTAAAGAACATCTTACTAAAGAATGAATGGGGTAAACCAGGAAATTAAGGAAGAAATTAAAAATACACGAAGCAAATGAAAATGAAAACACGACAGTCCAAACTCTTTGGGATGCAGCAAAGACAGTCCTAAAAGGAAAGTATATTGTAATTTAGGTCTATTTCAAGAAGCAAGAAAAATCTCAAATACACAACCTAACCTTACACCTAAAGAAGCTAAAAAAGGAACAGCAAATAAAGCCTAAAGTCAGCAGAAGGGAAATAAAAAAAATACATAACAGATAAATAAAACTAAGAGCTGGTTCTTTGAAAGAATAAACAAAATTGATGAACCTCTAGCCAGATTTACCAAAAAGAAAAGAGAAAGGAACCAAACAGATAAAATCACAAATGAAAAAGGGGAGATCAGAACCAACACCACAGAAATGTAAACAATTATGAGAATATTATGAAAAACTATATGCCAACAAACTGGGCAATCTGGAGGAAATGGACAAGTTTCTAGAAACATACAAACTACAAAAACTGAAACAGGAAGAAATAGAAAATTTGAACAGACCCATAATCAACAAAGAAATTGAATTAGTAATAAAAAACCTCCTAACAAACAAAAGCCAGGGCCAGATGGCTTTCCAAGGAAATTCTCACCAGATATTTAAAGAAGAGTTAATATCTCTTCTTCTCAAACTGTTACAAAAAATAGAAATGGAAGGAAAGCTTCTGAACTCATTCTATGAAGCCAGCATTTCCTTGATTCCAAAACCAAAGACCTCACTAAAAAGGAGAAATACAGACCAATATCCCTGATGAACATGCATGAAAAAATTCTCAACAAGATAGGAGCAAATCAAATTCAACAGTACATTAAAAGAATTATTCACCATGATAGTGGGATTTATTCCTGGGCTGCAAGTGCAGTTCAATATTCACAAATCAATCAACATGATACATCACATTAATAAAAGAAAGGATAAGAACCATATGATCCTCTCAATAAATGCAGAAAAAGCATTTGACAAAGGATAGCATCTATTCTTGATAAAAACCCTCAACAAAGTAGGGATAGAGGGAACATACCACAACATCATAAAGGCCATTATGAAAGACCCACAGCTAATATCCTCCTCAATGGGAAAAAACTGAAAACTTTTCCTCTATAGTCAGAAACAAGACAGGGATGTCCACTCTCACCATTGTTATTTAACATAGTACTGGAAGTCTTAGCCTCAGCAATCAGACAAGAAAAAGAAATAAAGCCTCCAAATGGCAAAGAAGAAGTCAAACTTTCACTATTTGCAGATGACATGACACTCTATGTAGAAAACCTGAAAGACTCCAAAAAATTGCTGGAACTAATACACGAATTCTGTAAAGTCACAGGATATAAAATCAATGTGCAGAAATCTGTTGAATTTCTATACACCAATAATGAAGCAACAAGAACCTAGAATTCAATCAAAATTTATGAGACAGACACAACAAGAAAATCAAACAGAATGAGACTTACAGATGACTGCTGGCATGATCACACAATGAACTTTAAAATAACTATGATTAGGGACACCTGGGTAGCTCAGTCAGTTAAGCATCAACTTAGACACAGGTCATGATTTCATGGTTGGTGAGTTTGAGCCCCACTTTGGGTTCTCTGCTGTCAGCGCAGAGCCCACTTCAGATCCTTTGTCTTCCTCTCTCTCTGCCCCTCCCCCCACTCATGCACGCTCTCTCTCTCTCACTCAAAAATAAACACTTAAAAAAATAATAACTATGATTAGATTAATATGTTGAAGGATTTCATGGAAAAGGAAAACATGCATGATAGAATTTCAGCAAGAAAACTATTATTAAGATATCAAATGGTAACGTAAAATATACAAAGCACAATATCAGAAACAGAATTCCCATAATGAGTTTATCCAGAGACTGGACACAGCTGAAGAAAGGATTAGTAAACTTGAACACAGGTCAATCAAAATTATCCAACACGAATTATAAAGAGAAAAAGAGTAGAATAAAAGATCAGATCAACTAAGAGCTGTGAGACACTAGTAAATGGTCTAATGTACATGTAATTGGAATCCCAGAAGGGGAACAAACAACAAGAACACAAGGCAAAAAATATTTGAAGAGCTAAGAGATGAAAATTTTCCTAACCAAACAAAAGACAACAAACAATAAATCCACTATTTCAGAGAACCACAAGGAGGATAAATACTTTGTATTTCACACACATTTATATACATATATCCATATCCATACCTAGATCCATCAAAGAATTTTATACTCATAAGAGTATCTTCAAAATAGAAAAAAAAAATTTTCCTAATAATCAAAAGTTGACAGAATTCATTGCTCATAGACCTGTACAACAAGAAATGTTTAAGAAATGAAGAGAATTACAAAGGGTAAAAATGCGAGCAAATATTTCAAAAATTTCTCATGTTACTTGTTTAAAAGATACTGCCTAAAGAAAAGCAATAACAAGGCATAACAAAGGATGAGAGGAAATGGAACTTTATGGTACTGAGATTCTTATGCTATACATGTAGTGGTATGATATTATTTGAAAGTAGACTACGTTACAATGTATATTATGAACTACAGATGACCAGTAAAAAATAAGAGATATAAGTAAAAAGCTAATGGTAGAGATAAAATAGAATTATTGTTAAAACTCAACTGATCCAAAAGATAGAAGGAAAAAGAACAGATGAGACAAATAGAATATAAGATGGTAGATTTAAATCTAACCACATCCATAATTACATTAATGTAGATGATCTAAAGATATGAATGCTCATAGCAGGTGAGGCTACAGTGTAGGAGGCAGGGAGTGCAGGAAGTATAAGGGAACTCTTAGTATCTTCTAGTCAATTTTTGCTGTGAACCTAAAACTACTCTAAAAAATAGGTCAGTTGAAAAAAATTCACACTCATTATTGTAAATATTTGTCTGTCAATCCCTGAATTAAGCTCCAGAAAGGTAGGGACTGTATTTATCTTGTTCCCTGCTGTATACTCAGTGCCTAGAAAAATGCCCAACACATTGTTAAGTCCCTGCTTTTCTGATACATTTTATTTGTGGGAGAAGGTCGAGTGGTGCCTGGGAATGAATAAATCAATATATAGATGAATTATTAATAACAAAAGATATAATGTAATAAAAATGGACTGTAAGAAACACATTCCTAACTAAATCTTCCATTAAATGTTTTAACTAAACTAAATGTTATTGATTAAACATCTTTCAACATTATCTGTTGATCTCTAAATATACTGCTCCAATAAAAAAAATACCCTGGAAAAAAAAAAAACCCTCAAAATTGCTGAAAACACAAAAATAACCCTAAGTACACAATAGGAGTGCAAAAAACACATATACATTTTATCTTTTAAGGACAATATATCTAATGAGAACAAAATGTAGAAGTACCAACTAAATATCACTGGAAAGACAAAGGTGGATATTTTCAGATTATGAGAAAGGTATTTTCAGATTTTCTTTGAATGAAACTATTTAATCCTTTCTTTCTAGTAACCAGTCAAAACAAGTTTTCCTAAAGCTAAGTTTTCATTTAGCAATTCATTCAGATAATTATTCTGAAAACATCTATTTAAACACAAAATGGGTGTACAAGAAACACAAAGCACTTAGCAGTAAATCACCTCTGCATCCACTCTACAGGACAAAACATGTCTTATTATGTTGTACAACTGGCACTATAAAAGGTTTACTCTGTTATCTCTTTTGAAGTAAATAATAGTCTTTTTAAAAAATTAAAGCTAAAAGAAAAACCACTTACTACTAACAATCAGCTAATCTATTTCCTTCAAAAAGGAAAAATTTCAAAATAATAGTGTGTTTTATTTCCATATTCTTAATATAATTTGAGTAGATAGGTTAGCATATTAATTCACTAAGAACCTACTATGCCACTGAGAATCTGGAATCTTTCATAAACCTAAATATTTGTTTATTTAGGAGTATACATTTATGGAAACCAGTTTAAATGGAAAAAAAGTAACTGTCCTACTCAATTTTTCCTTACCATACTTACTGGAAAATTATCCCACTTAATTCCCCCTCCTTTGGCTTCTTTTTAAAAACTATTTTCATTGTTCTCTAATTTGCTAACATATTAACTTTTATATATTCCAAAGGTCTAATTAGTAACTGTTTTCATAAACTTAAAATAAAAAACAAAGCAATGTTTGACAAATATAGTACCTGACAGAGGATGTTCTTGGTCCATGATCTCTGGAATCCATTACCCAACCAACATGACACTCTAGAGGGGGATTTGTACTATGCCTTGTTTTTCTCTTTCTTGGACTCTAAAGAAAAAGAAGTCAAACATTGCAATGATTTGAGTAGTGTGAACTTCACAAGTAAATTAAAACCCTCTGAGTATAAACTAGCTCAAACATTTGCATACTGTGGATGACACATTATGAAATCACATGAAGTCACAAAACTCAAACATCTCACATACAAGTTACAAAACTTAAAAGGTCTTTTGCCTGGTTTCAACACAAGGATTAAAGGAAATACAACTTAGTATGATTCTTCATTATACCTTCTGATCAACTTTAATTACACCACCAAATTGGAAAGAAGTTATTCCTTAACCTGAGAAAACTTCAATCACTATGGTGAAATACCATTTTTAAATGAATTTTTACAATCTAAATCATATATTTTAAAAAATGTGATAGAAACTAAAACATCTCATTTTGTAATGTTAAAGGATACAAAATGCAGGCTTTATATTCCTGGTTGTTTTGTGTACCTTTACATCAATAGCTTTTGGTTCTTTAACAACAGGATAAAATCTTGGTGTTTTGTTTGGATCTTGTAACCTGGGTGTTCGAGGTGTTTTAGGTGACCTTGCAGGATAAACTCTAGGAGATTCTGGAACTGCTGTGGGCAATGAAAGGGCCATTGTTGTTGAAGATATTTCTGAAACATCAAACAGCTTCTGAGCTAATTCATCACTCAAATCTGCAAAATAAAAATCTTGTTAAAAGTTACTTAGATGATAAGAAAATATTTTACTTGAGAGCAAGGGTATTTCTGAAATTTTCTACTCTCAAAAGATTTTTTCCTCAGAAACGTTTCAAATATATAAGAATAAAAAATAAACACTTGTCTGTACATCACCTAGCCTTACCAAGTTTTAATTTTGCTATATCTGTTTGACTTTTTTAAAAAGAAAAGTAAGCAGAAGCCCACTGTATAACCTTCCCCAATCCCATTTTGCTTTTCCTCATCAGAGACAACCAGGCTCTCGAATTTGGTACTTTTATCTATAATTATATACATATATGTAATACCACTATTTGCATAATTAGCTTTACATAAGTGACATCATACTGTATGTATCATTTTGCAAGTTTTTGCAGTCATATCTTGTTTGACACTTGATTATTGAAGTTCTACTCATATAGCTTTAGTTTATTCATTTTCACTGCAGAATATTATGCTGTTATACAAATATAACAGAACTTATACATTCTCCTGAAGATGCACATTTATGTTGTTTCCAGATTTTTGGTATAATCAACGATGCTACAGTGAACATTGTTAAATATTTCTCTCTATATAGGTGTGAGCATGTCTCTAGGGTTTATATGTGAAAGAGAAATGTTGACTAAAATGGCACATGCATCTTTATTTTGAGAGAGAGAGAGAGATGGAAGGATGGAGGGAGGAAGAGAGAGACAAAGAGAGAGAGAGAAAGGGAGGGAAGGACAGAGAAAGAGAGAGGGACAGACAGAATCCCAAGCAGGCTCCATGCCATCAGCATGGAGCCCAAGGTGGGGCTCAATCTCATGAACTGTGAGATCATGACCTGAGCCAAAATCAAGAGTAGGAGGCTTAGGGGCACTTGTACCCCAATGTTTATAGCAGCACTTTCAACAATAGCCAAATTGTGGAAAGAGCCTAAATGTCCATCAACTGATGAATTGATAAATTGTGGTTTATATACTCAATGGAATACTACTTGGTAATGAGAAAGAATGAAATATGGCCTTTTGTAGCAATGTGGATGGAACTGGAGAGTGTTATGCTAAATGAAATAAGTCATACAGAGAAAGACAGATACCATATGTTTTCACTCTTATGTGGATCCTGAGAAACTTAACAGAAGACCATGGGGGAGGGGAAGGGAAAAAAAAGGGAGGGAGCCAAACCATAAGAAACTTAAAAACTGAGAATAAACTGAGGGGTGATTGGGGGTGGAGGAAGGGGAAAGTGGGTGATGGGCACCTGTTGGGATGAGCACTGGGTGTTGTACGGAAACCAATTTGACAATAAATTTCATATTAAGAAAAAAAAAAGACTAGGAGGCTTAACTGACTAAGCCACCCAGACATCCTGGCACATGCATCTTCTGATTTACTAAGTACTGATTGCCAAAGTGCTTTCTATAATGGTTTCACCAATTTATACTCCCACCAGTAGCATGAAAAAGTCTCAGAAATTTAATATACTCGTCAAGACTGGTTTCGTTTAGACGTTTAAATATTTTTCCATCTCATGATATTTGAATGGTTTTTGTATTTGGGGTTTTTTTTGTGTGTGTGTGTGTGTGTGTGTGTGTGTGTGTGTGTGTTTAATTTCAAGTTTTTATTTAAAATCTAGTTAGTTAACATATATGGTAATATTGGTTACAGATGTAGAATTTAGTGATTCACTTCCATATAACATCCAGTGCTCATCACAAGTTGTACTCCTTAATATTCCATCATGCATTTAGCCCATCCCCCACCCACCTCCTTCCATCAACCCTTAGTTTGTTCTCTATAGTTAAGAGTTTCTTATGGTTTGCTTCCCTATTTTTCCCCTCTTCCTCTATGTTTATTACTGGTGAGGTTGAGCATATTTTCATATATATAGTCATCATTCACATTTCCCCTATCATGAGTTTACCACCATATCCTCAGACCATATTTCTATTGGGTTGTTTTACTTATTTATTAGTTTGTGGAAATATAATGGTAAGATACTAATAGTAAGCAAGTAGAATGTAGACTCTGTTTCTGTATGGTTTTTCTTCAGACTTACCAACTTCTTTTGATTCATACAATGGATTTTTGTGTATCATTCAACAAATATTACCAAGTACCTGCTATATGCCAAGCACTATTCTAGAAACAAGGTTGTAAACTCAAAAGTGAACTTAACCACTCTATTACCTAATTTCCCCATTTCTTCTCCCAATCTGTTATCAGAATGATATAATGATATAATAATGATATTCGGCGGGGGCGGGGGGGAGGTGTGCAAATTAGGTCATTTCATGTCTCTACTTAAAATCCTCAGTGTTTCCCTTTTGCCTCTGGGAGAAGTCTAGTGTCTTTATCATGGCATATGAGACTTGACTGATTTTGACTTATCTATTGTCTTTCTCCACTTCAATTTTAGTGCCCCAGATAGGAACCTACTTGTTTCTATTTTCTTGCTTCTTACCTTTTCATATGCTTTTTCCTCTGTCTGAAAGTCCCTTTCCCTTATCTTTTTACACCAAATTGAATGCATATCCTTCCTTTAATACCCAGCACAGATGTTACTTTCCCTAGGAATCTAAAGCACTTCTTGAATTTCTGCCAATAAAAATAATTCTCTTTTTTTTTTTGGTGCCACCTTTACATTTCATCCATTTATTGTTCGATTTATTAAATTAAAATTTATTTTCTTATATATTATCTGATCAGATGCTAAGAACAAGTCCCAGTACATTCCTAAAAGCAAGGTCCATAATCTAATATTTGTATACCAGTGCCTAAAACAGTGCTAGGAAAAAAATATATACCCAGCAAATGACCAATAAATTTAACTGAATTGTGTTAATACAGATTTTCCTTAGACCAAAAAGATAATGCAATCTCAAGGATAAAACTATGATTATACACTGAAAAATATGTTAAATCCAGCACCTCTGTAAAAGAAATATTTTAAAAAGATCTAGGAACATTAACAGTAAGCTTCCTAGCATCCAGATTATGGTCTCCAAATTCCATTTCCATTTCTCACTGATCTGGTCCTCTACAAGGAATAGAGTCTGTAGCATAAAGTATAATATAAGCCTGGGAAATCTTGAGTCAGAAAGCAATGAAATTAAGAAAGAAAAAAAACTAGAATAGGTCATAAGGACACAGTAGCAAATTTCAGTGGCCCCACCAGTCAAAAATGAAGTACTTTGACCACTAAAAACAATGATTGAAACTGACTAAACATTTCAAATAAATAAGCTCTACAAGTTCAAAATGGTGCCTTAACATTTAATCACGTTTGCAGGTTGCTAGGGCACCAAACTCATTATTCTAAAAACTAACCAAATGCAAAGAAAGAAACAAGCATTTATCCTTTCTTTCCTGGAAAAATTGAATTTCAAAGTATTCAAAGAGTTGATAAAAGAATATTCTTCTTTATAGAATTCTAGGTATGGAACACAGGAATGAGAGAACTAGATGACTATTTGTAACTCTAATGAAATAGAGGATGTAGGGAATATTCATCAATGACTCTTAAAACCATTTTGTAAAATGTTGAAGGGAGATTCAGCACCAAAGACATGATCCCTGAAAGGAAGAACTGATAAGCTAGACATCACTGAAATGAAAAAAACATCTGCCCTCCAAATGACACTGTCAAGATAATGAGAAGACAAGTCAAAGATCAGAAGAAAATATTTGCAAAAGACACATCTGATAAAGGACCGTTATCCAAAGTATATAAAGAACTCCTAAAACTCAAAAATAAGAAAACAAACAAACCAATTAAAAAATATGAACGGATACATTAATGAAGATATATACGGCAAATAAGCACAGGTAAAGATATTACACATCATGTCATCAGGGAAATGTAAATAGAAATCAAATACCATGACAACCCATGAGAATGGCCAAAGTCCAGAACACTGGCAACACCAAATGCTAGCAAGGATATGGAGCAACAGGATCTCTCATTCATTGGTGGTGGGAATACAAAATGATACAGACACTCTGGAAGACAGTTTGGCAGCTTCATACAAAAGTAAACATATTCTTCCCATATGATCTAGCAATCACTCTCCTTGGTATATACTCAAAGGAACTGAAAATTTATGTCCACACAAAAACTTGCACATGGATGTTTATTGTAGCTTTACTCATAATTGCCAAAACTTGAAACCAATGAAGATGTCCTTCAGTAGATGAAGGGATAAACTATGGTATATCCAGATAATGGAATATTATGCAGTGCTAAAAACATATGAGCTATCAAGTCAAGAAAAGACATGGAGGAAATTTAAATGCATATTAGTAAGTGAGAGAAGCCAATGTGAAAAGCCTATATCCTATAGGATTCCAACTATTCAAAATTCGAAACAGGAAAACTATGGAGACAGTTGAAAGATCAATGGTCACCAGAGGTTGGAGATACGGTGGGGGAAGCGTGAATAAGTAAAACACAGAGGATTTTTACTCTGTAGGATACTATAGTGATGGATACATGTCATTATACGTGGGTTAAAACCCACAGAACATACAACACCAAGAGTGAAACCTAATGTAACGGGTAATTACGATGTGTTGGTGTAGGTACAATTGTAACAAAGGTACCACTCTGATGTGGTATGTTGCTGTGAGGAAGCAGCATCCTTCCCCAGACTGGCAATGGTTATGTAAGCTGGGGACAGGGAGTAAATGAGAAATCTCTGTATCTTACTCTTAATTTTACTGTGACCCTAAAAGTGTTCTAAAAAAAAGTCTTTAGAAAAAAATGTTCAAGAGAAACTTTATGATGAATGGACAAGGCCAATAACATCTAAACCCAATAATCAATCACAGCAGCAGTAAAAGACAGCCTAAAAGACAATATGATGTAATTGGAAGTAAATGGCTCCTCTAAGAAACAGTCTTGTCACCACA